AAAAGAGATAATGCAACTTGCAAACACTCTTAGGTCAGAATTTATGTACTAATTTTATCTCACTTCATAAGCTAAATTAAAACAAGCCTTGACTCTGATTACATACTGATTCAAATTAGTTTACCCGAGTAATGATAAAATATATGCTTTGATAAAGTTGTGCATCAGGGCTCACAAAATGGAGGCCGCACCAGTGGCCAGTCTCATGTCACAAATCTAAACCTAAGCCGATTTGCATTTATGGGAAACACCTGTCAAAGACAGCTAACATACACCAATCACAATCCTCCAACTCTGCTTTAGCTAGCTTATCTTACCCTACAAACTAGGACCTGCCTAGTCTTATAAGGAAATCCCCAGCCTCCTAGCCAATCACGCTCTATTTCTGCTCACCTCTTTTAATATTCTATAAAACTCACTTAGGCCCAAAATCACCCAGGCAGGGTGCTCCCCTGCTTGTGTGGCACTGTATTCCCCCAATCCATGGATGATTTTCCCTTAAATAAAAGACATCAAATTCATCAAATTCATTTCTAATTTTTCTAGTTTTGTCACTTGACAGTTTACAGCAATCCTTTGCATGTGTTGATGCTACCTAACATCGCAATTATATAAGTGAATATCATGTAAAATATTCAATTCACAATTTAAATTATAACAAGGAAAGTTTTTAACAGTTTCTCCAAATACCCACTAAAATATCTATGAGAAAGGAAAGAAAAAAGACAGGAGTATTTATTCTTTATTGAAAAATAAGACTATTGTTACTATATGAGTAGTTTCCCTTAATTATATTGTTTAAGAATTTCATTAAGAAAAAATTCAACCAAGGGAAATAAAAACAAAAGTAAATGCTTGGGACTACATTGAAATAAAAAGCTTCTGCACAATGAAGGAAACAATGGAAATCAAGGCGTTGAAAGGACTGTGTTCCTTCAGGGAAGCTCTAGGGGAAGAATCCATTTCTTGCCTTTTAAAACTTGTAGAGGTTGCCTACATTCCTTGGTTCATGGACTTCTATCTTTAAAGTCAGCATTGGTAGCTTGAGAACTTGCCTAGGCAAAGCCTTGATAAAAAAAGTACTGTGACTTTACAATAAGTATGTATTAAGTGATTAGAAGTTAAGGAAAGGATACCTTATTTAAAACAGAATATTATGAAACAGGGTCATTTTAAAAGAAAAAATATAATTTCTAAATAAAAAATGGATAGATAAGTAAAATAATACACTGAATGTTTTGGAAGAAAACTTAAGAGACCTGGAAGTTCCAAATGATATAATCACCCAGGATGAATTACAAATTATATAGCATTGAGGAGATGAAGATTTAACTTCAGGGTCCAACGAGAAGAAACTCCCAGGGAACATTCTAGAGTGTTTGAAATCCCTGCCTAGCTTCACCCAAAGAGAATGAATAAAAAAAGAACAAGAAACCCTTACGAAAACTCCAACTTTACCTCAAGACATCTCAATCCATGATTAGTTCAAGGCAATATTTTTTTTAAAGATTTTATCCATTTTTAAAGATTTTATCCATTTATTTGCAGGGGGGTGCGAGCAGGGGGAGGGGCAGAGAGAGAAGTCTACATAGGCAGCATATCTTTTCATAATACTACCAAGGTGCTGTTTATCCTTTTCATTTTGTCAGCGTTTGCACCAAAGTTACAGAAGCAACGATGATAAAAAGTGTTGGTGCCTTAGCACAAATTGAGGTAGTGGTATTAATCTGTATTAGCGCTCATATTATAGTCACTGCTTCTTTGCAGCTTGCACTCACAATTAAAATGCAATCACAATTTTTAAATGCCATTTTCACTTATGATGAAGCAGTAAAAATAACTATTAATTTTTGACTGTTAAAAATGGTTTTTAATGATGATATAACTATTCTCAAGGCAATTCTGCCCTCTTCTAAAATATATTAACTTGAGAAAAAAATATTTATGCGAATTTTTTAGTTGCAAGATGAACTAGCCATTTTTTTTCGTGGAATATCATGGAATCAAAAAAGAAAGAGCAAAGAGATAATGAGGCAGAAGCATCATCTGAAGGGATGACAGCCAAACTTTTTCCAAAACTAATGTAAAAATAATGTAGCACTGGAAAGGTAATATAGGGAAAATGAGATAATTTTAAAATGCTATTAATCCAAAAGTAAAAAAAAAGAACCTGAAAAAGAACATAATAGTAAAATAAGTAGAAAACATGTAGCATGTTGATAAATATACAACTATATTACTTCTTACATTTAACATAAAAGGAATCAATACTCTATTATTTTCAAACTGAAATAAAAAATCCTATTTATCTGCTGCTTTCAAAAAACATGACTTAAGGGGCATCTGGTGGTTCAGTCGGGTAAGCACCTGCCTTCAGCTCCGGTCATGATCCCAGCGTCCTGGGATCCAGCCTGGCATCGGGCTCCCTGCTCAGCGCGAAGCCTGCTTCTCCCTCTCCCACTCCCCCTGCTTGTGTTCCCTCTTTCGCTGTCTCTCTCTGTCAAATAAATAAATAAAATTTAAAAAAAGAGAAACATGACTTAAAACTAAGGACACAGAAAGACTGAAGGTAGAATTACATAAAAAAAGAAAAATCACACCCACCCACAAAAAAAACCCTGGCTTAGTACAATATTTAAAAAATTGAAACCTTAGAATTAAAATCATTATTAAATGCAAAGAGAGTCATATCATAATGATAATATGGTCAGTCTACCAGAGGATACAATATTAAAACTATAAACACCCTATAATAAAGCTTTATTTATTTATTTTTTTAAGTAGGCTCCACACCCAGTGTGGAGCCCACTGCGTAACTTGAACTCAAAACGCTGAGATCAAGACTTAAATCAAGAGTCGGACGCTTAACCAACTGAGCAACCCAGGTGCCCCAGCTTTAAAATTTTTAAATCAGTAATTGACAGTAATCAAAGGATCGAGTCCCACATCGGGCTCCCCGCTCAGCGGGGAGTCTGCTTCTCCCTCGGACCCTCCCCCCTCTCATGCTCTCTCTCTGTTTCTCTCTCTCAAATAAATAAATAAATAAAATATTTAAAAAAAGAAATAATGACATTCATAGAAGCTGGACCCTACAATGACAAACTTTATTCTTTTCAAGTGCACATAGCACAATTACCCAAAATTTATGACTTTCCTCATTATGTAGCAAAGCTTAACAAGTTTTAAAAGGTTAAAATCCTTTTGAGTATATTCTCTGACCACAATGAATTTAAACCAGAAACCAGTAACAAATCCTAACTAGAAAATCTCCACCTGTTTGGAAATTAAGGAAAACATTTCTAAATAATACATAGGTCAAATAAGAAATCACTATAGAAATTATAAAGCATTTTCAACTGAAAGCTAATTTAAGACATTTCAAATTTTGTGAGACAGATCTAAAGCAGCACTTAACTGAATACCTAGAGCCTAAAGCACATACATTATAAGGGAATGAAAGTCGAGAATAAATGATATATGTTTCCATCTCAAGATGATAGAAGAGAGCAATGAATCTTACCAGAGAAAATAGAAAGGAGGAATTAATAAATGTAAAAGCAGAATCAATGAAATAGAAAATAAATAAATGTACAATAGAGAAAAATCAACCAAGCTAAAAGATGTTTTATTTAAGAATATAAATTTATAATAATTTCCTTAGAACTAATCCAGAAAATGGAAAAATTACCCATATCATGAATTAAAAATGAGAGCACACCATAGATCTTGCTAACATTTAAAAGATGAGAATATTGTGAATAATTTTATACTAAAATTTGAAAATATAAATAAAATGGACATATGCCTTGCAAAACCCAACTTAGAAAAAAAAATAAATACTCTTTACATGGTTAAAAACTGGAATCCATTTCTAAGAACTTTTCACAAATCAAACTCCACTTGTGAAAGTTTCCACTGGGAAACTAATTCAAGTATTCAAGAAAGAAACAGAATCAATTTTATCTTCCAGAAAATTATATGAGAAGGAATTATTTCCAACATACCTAAAATCTCCACACAAAAATCTGAGAAGGGCATTATAAGAATGAAAAATTACAGATAATCTTTTTTTTACATTTAAAAAGTGTTTTTTATTTACCTTTACATTAGTACTTAAAATACATATTTCTATTTCAAGATGACATTTAAAAATTATTCTACTACCAGAGCAACATAAATATAATTCTGCAATTATAAATAAAGCTAAACTGGGATCCATAGTTAAGTTATTCTCATGTTTGCAAGTCTGATTCTGAAATAAATACTAATTCTATGCAGCTGTTAGCTTTTTAGGTTTGATTTAAACACACACACATTTTCAGTTGTGGAGAAGCTTAGAATGTTATATTCCATGCACTGTTCTGAAGGGCTCATTAACAGCCAACCGGCCCTAAAAACTGAAACACTCTAACAATCTGCAAGACAGGCAGAAAAAAGTTAAATTAATTGGGGCAAATAGGATTCCTACATAACATCAAAAGCATGTGATATTCTTTAGCAACTGGGAGTACTTTGGGATTGTCAAATTGTCTTCTTTAGAATTAATCTCATTGGGCACCTGGGTGGCTCAGTTGGTTAAGCGACTGCCTTCGGCTCAGGTCATGATCCTGGAGTTCCGGGATCGAGTCCCACATGGGGCTCCCTGCTCAGCGGGGAGTCTGCTCCTCCCTCTGACCCTCCCCCCTCTCATGTGCTCTCTCTCTCATTCTCTCTCTCAAATAAAATGAATAAAATCTTTAAAAAAAAAACTAATCTCATCAAAAGAGTTTAAGAAGGTTAATATTTCACCTCTATCAAGGACATTTAAAAGTGACAGGTTTCTTTTGTGCCAATGTGACTCCCCTGAATGACCTAGCTAGTTAACTAGTCACTAGTAATTTCAAATTACCATGTTATTGTCCAACCCATTCAATTTATTTTCAATATAAATATATAAAGTCAACATGAGATGTCTAACTAAAGCAAGCACCACCAATAAAATCAAGACAGCGTCTCTTCTTCTAAGGTTCAGGCTTTGCCCAGAATTCCGTATCCAGGGAATAGCCCATTCCAAGAGTCATTGTTTCCATAGCAAAGCCTTGGGCTGTCACACACATTTGGACCAGGTGAACAGACATTTTAGTATTTCCCCTATTCTTCGATTTATACAGTCCATTTGCAATGATTGCTGCAAAACCCATCTTTCCAACAGGAACAAAAGGTGCCTCTCTAGCTTTTTGGAGAAGTTTAGATCCCTGCTCTTCATCATATGAAGAATGAGAAACATCTGGTCAGCTTACATAGTGTCTGAAGAATCCTCCTAGAAGGACAGGACTTCTCAAGCCCCAACCGACAGATAATCCTTTCTTATTAACAGATGCAAACACCCTTAACAAAATATTTTCAAATTGAATTCGGCAATATAAGAGAAGAATAACATGTCACAAACAAGTGGGTTCTATTCCAGGCATGCTGAATTTGTTTACGGAAACGAACAACATTGGTTGCATTAAAATAAATGCTATCTCAATACATTTTTTAAAGCTTTGATAATATTCAAAATGTCATTTTGCGTCATTAAAAAAAAAAGCTTTTGGAACTAGGAAAATCATGTACTTCCTAAATATACCACAAATGTATCCATGAAGACACAAAAACAAATCTTATACTTAATGATGAATTATTACAAGATTTATTCCTAAAGACAGAAGTGATACAGAGATACCCACTACCAGCCATCAGAAAGGATGAATACCCACCATTTGCATCGACATGGATGGAACTGGAGGGGATTATGCTAAGTGAAATAAGTCAAGCAGAGAAAGACAATTATCATATGGTTTCACTCATATGTGGAATATAAGGAGTAGTGCAGAGGACCACCGGGGAAGGGAGGGAAAACTGAATGGGAAGAAATCAGAGAGGGAGACAAACCATGAGAGACTCTGGACTCCTGGAAACAAATTGAGGGTTACAGAATGGAGGGAAGGTGGGGGGTATTAAGGAGGGCATGTGTTGGGGTGAGCACCGGGTGTTATACACAACTAATGAATCACTGAACACTACAACAATAACTTATGATGTACTATATGTTGGCTAACTGAACATAATGAAAAATAAAAAAAATTTAAATTAAAAAAACAATGAACATAACTACATTTTTGGTTGAATCTGTAATTTTAGAGATAATTATAAGAAAACTCTTAGCATTGGTTGATGGCAACACATTCAGCAGTCAAGAGCAAAGCCGAAAATTTATGTCAATAAGATAATAAAATATAAATCAAATAATGCAAAAAAAAAGTGTTAGGCAATTGTATTCAGGCAAGAAAAGCCTTGTAAAATGGCAATTAAGGGAATAAGAAATTTTAAAAATATACGTATTAAACTTTCATTATTCATAATAACTTGACTGTGGTGATAGAATATCAAAAAGTATCTATAAAATATTTAAATTAATAAGGAGTTTAGCCAGATTTCTGGATAAAAATAAAATCAACATGTTACAAGCCTTACAGCACTTCTATGCACCAGAAACAATGTAAAAATAAAAATGTTAAATGTTGGGGCACCTGGGTGACTCAGTCATTTAAGCGTCTGACTCTTCATTTCAGCTCAGGTCATGATCTCAGGGTCCTGGGATTGAGCCCTTTGTCGGGCTCTGCACTCAACGGGGAGTAAGCTTGAGGTTTCCTCTCCCTCTCCCTCTGTCCCTTCCCCCACTCGCACACAGTCTCTAATAATTTTTTTTAAATGTTAAATGTTACTCAATTTTCAATAGATTAAACAAATAAAGTATTTAAAAATAAATTTAATGCAAGATTTGCAAACTGGTACACTGAAAACTTCATGACATCGACGAGAGATTTCTGTGGAAACCTTAAATAGAGGAAATATAGCATATTCATGAATTGGAATGTTGACTGTTTGGGTAATATAAATTTCTCCAACTCATTTATAGATCTAATACTACCCAGTTTAGGATTCAAGCTGGTGCCTGTGTGTGTGTGTGTGTGTGTGTGAATGAAAAATTGAGAAGCTGTTTCTACTATGTTTATGGGAATATAAAGAAGGAAGAAGAGTAAAGTCAATCTCAAGGAAGAAATATAGAGGAATTATATTACCAGATATCAAGATTACATTAACTATTATAATTAAGAAATTGTTAATAGGGTCTAGAAACAGATATATCTAAGTTTACATTATAGTGCAGCATACTGGGAAACAATGATTATTCTACAATAGTGCTCGTATCTACAAATATGTAAAAATACATTTGCCAAAAGATAGGCAACATTTGTTCATAGCAGTAATATGTAATATGAATTAGGAAAACAACCCAAGGGGCGCCTGGGTGGCTCAGTCATTAAGCGTCTGCCTTCGGCTCAGGTCATGATCCCAGGGTCCTGGGATCAAGCCCCGCATCGGGCTCCCTGATCAGCGGGAGGCGTGCTTCTGCCTCTCCCACTCCCCCTGCTTGTGTTCCCTCTCTCTCTGTCTCTATCAAATAAATAAATAAAATCTTAAAAAAAAAAAAAGGAAAACAACCCAAATATTCGTCAGCATGACAATAAATAAAGTGATATATTCATACAATGGCTTACTATATAGGAAGGAGAAAAAAAGATTTACATCTTTGTGCTACAACATGGATACATCACACAAACATCATGTTGAAAGAATCAAGGATGAAAAAGAGACAAGCTATATATATTTGATATATATGAATATGTATATGCATTATATATATTAAAAATGTAAAAAAAGGTGGCAGCAAAAATACTAAAGTATGGAGGAAAAGTCAGGATAAACATTGCCCTTCCAAGTTGATAGTGATTGCAAAAGATAAGCATAATGTGAAACACTTTCTGGAATGCTAGTAAAATTCTGTTTCTGTATCAGGTAGTAGTTACAACAGTAATATTTACTTTAATTTTATCAGGATCTACATTTAAAATCAGTGCACTCTTTTTCTATGTATGTTACAGTTCAATAAGCATTTATACAAAATACACACAAAAGATACAAATTATAAATAGTAAATATCCAAATTTAAAATCTATATTTTAATGAATGTAATTTTATTCATAAATTTCAATATAATTTTTGACAAAATAATGCTATTTATCATTTTAATGTTCACTGATCATTTAATTGTCAATGAAAAACTAATATGTTTCATTCATGTTCTGTGTAGACCACATAGGTAAAGCTTCAAGAAAATTTGAATTGTATAGAGTTGCAAAATGTTTCTCTCCTGCTTTATACAACATTTATGAGTACCACATTAATGAATGTGTAACTCCAGGATCATGAATTGGAATACCAAGTGAAGGAAGTTCTGCAATACTGAACTTGATACTTCATCATGCAAAACCTACTGCTCTGGTCCTTTCTAAATGAAGGATTTGGCAAGGTAATTAATAAGCGTTCCTTAGCACTTCTGTTCAAATCCTCCTTGTGCTCCGAAGTCCATCTCCACACTGGCAGCAGCCCAACCTATAAATTTCATATCAATGAATTCAGTCACCTTTTTGCTTAAAACACGGGGCAAAAGATGTAGAGTGTTTTTCTGGAGCCTAAAACATGTAGGAAAGTTTATGTTTATGATTCTGGGATGCATTATGTGAGCAAATGGTGCTGAGTTTACATATGGATGTGCTAGCGGTATGCTGGAGTCTGTACGTTGCAGGCTCATAACAACATCTTCAGGAAGTTTACAAGCCATTGTTTAAAGACAGACATTATTAAGAATTAAATTTTGTAAATGTACATGTAAACAAATTATATTAAAAGTTAAGGGAATGGGGGCGCCTGGGTGGCTCAGTCGGTTAAACCTCTGCCTTCGGCTCAGGTCATGATCTCAGGGTCCTGGGATCGAGCCCCACATCGGGCTCCCTGCTCAGCAGAGAGGCTGCTTCTCCCTCTCCCACTGCTGTCTTCCCCTGCTTGTGCTCTCTCTCTCAAATAAATAAATAAAATTTAAAGAAAATAAGGAAATGAATATTCAAAATGAGTCACTATATTCATACGTTTTCTTCTGTTCTATACTGAAGAGGATTTTATATCCATTTTATCTGCGTGGCAGAGCCAGTATCTAATGGTGTTCTACTGTGCATCACTTCCACAGGGAGATGAAATCTGCCATGTTGGGGGCATTTATATAACCAAAAAAAAAAAAAAAGGCAACTACTACAATCGGTTATTTATTATTTTGTTGACTGAGCTTAAGAAATTGAAAAAGAAAATGTTAATAATAGACATCAAACCAGAAGTATGTCTTGTGTGTAGCAATTACATTGAAAGTAGAATAAAAAATTAAAAATATTATTCTGTTGTTCTAAATCTACTATCCAATTCAGCAAAGAAGTGCTTGCATCACTGATGAACAAATGAAATCCTAATACATGTCTTCATTATTTCACTTCGTCTTACTAATGTAAATGAAAAATATCAGCCAGCATTCATGTCAGGACCATACTTGCTAATCCAACATTCAAAAGTTGGTTATATATACAGGAGTGAAGCAAAAAAAAAAAAAAAAAAA